GTCTGACGCGTCTGCCTCCGCGACCCGAAAGGAGAAGCGGCGATGGAAGATGAAGATGAAGATGAAGATCTGACTGCTTAAAATATCTGTACGTAGCTAAGCATTTCAACAGCACAATTTTGTAAAAGGTTCAACTTTCTTTGGAATATGATTTGTCATGCCTTCCGTAATGATTCAAGCTATATATTTTATGTAGAGTTCTCTACTAACGGATATGCTTCCCTATATTTTGATCTTGGCGACAGGCATCCGAGCACCGACACGTTCATGGGTGATTGCTATTTCTTATGATTTTTTTTCAGCGATTTGTAGCGTATGTTCCGTTAAGTTGTATCAAGGAACCTGCCTTGCTAGCATTGCGTATATTTCTGCGAATACGACGGTCGTTACAAACCAGGCACGTTCTGCTTATACAAACGGCTCTAGTTGATCATCACACTCACCCACATTTACTGTCATATCGAGGCATCGGTCTGAATTCTCCGCTCATGACTATGCGTGGTTAGATGCTTGTACAAAGCCGGAAACATAACTTTGCCTTACTGCTCAGCACTTTCGTTTTATTCGAATTTGAAATTTGATAGAACTTGCAAGAATTCTAAATATGCCCTTTGCTGCATAGAGGTCATGACATGTCTTGATCCATCTGATAGCTGACTAAACCAACACCTAATGTGGCCCATAAGTTAAAAATAGACGAAGCATCGAAACTTCCATGATATAAATAATGCTTATGTGATTAATGATGATATAATCTTTAGGTTAGCCACAAACGGAAAGACAGCGCATAAAATAGTCTTTAATTGGGAACATCTGAGGTTTCAGACCAAGCTCGGTCCGTCTTCAGAGTACAATGTAGTAAACTATTAAAGATTATTTTATGCGTTGTCTTCCCGTTTGCCTAAAGATTACACCACCTCCCGCATAAAGAAATCAAGTACGATTTTCATTAATGATATGATATAATATAATATGCTGATTTAATATGATAAAGTAATGCTCTACAAGATGCTATTGTAATTCAGTGCATTTTGCGTCGCTGTTTGTCATAAGAACTGTAAATATTTGTGTTTATCTTTATATCCATTTTCTGCTATTTAGCGTGGTTCGCAAATGTGAAAGCAGTGCATCTCTTTTTCATGAACGTTTGATGCCAACTTTCAGTCTCTGCAGCGAAAAGGACATTGGAGCAAGAAACGGTACGTTACCTCCTAACGATCAAGTAGCTCTGAATGTTGTTGTTTGTTGTGAAGCTTCTAGAAAAGCGTTGATCACTCGGCGAGGCTCTGACTTTCAGCGTCGTTTTTCTCACTGTTCTTCGTGTCAGTCAGCTTCATCCAGTGGTTGTGGCGGTGGCGGCGAATTTAAGGTACTAAACACCATCGACTAAATTTCTGCTTGACAATTTTATGCAAGTCAGTTGACACATAATTGTATGTAATTTTGCAAGGAGAGCGTAGAGGAGTTTTACAGATCGATATGGTATGCTCTGCTACTTCTTTGTGCTTAGTGTACACTTCATTACTTTCGTTTTTTCAAGTGCTGTTCTTAAAACCGGGTTTGTTCAGTCGGTAGTGTAGAATTCAGAACCTAGATGTTTCGGGTTCAAGCCCCTGTCGGGTCACCACGCGTTTTTTCCTTACAAAATAGATAAATGAGTAACTTTCTGTGAGAAGGAAGCGGGTGATTACACACGACGCTTGCCGCATAGCTGCTGCCTTTAAAATAAGACATTCCTCGCTGACGGCATGATCAGCGTCCCGCGGTTAAGGTTTTGAAAAGCAAAATGTTGAGAAATGGCCCCAGCATGAAATTGCAAGAAAAGCCGACCTTCCAGAGGAATAAATTTTATCTTTGTTTTGGAAACTTTGTCGTATATGCATATATGTACATATTTTGTAATATATAGGCATCCAGTTGCCTCTGATTGTGGATCATAAGATTCGTTACTATTCGTGATCGGTGTGATGATCGCATCATTAACAATAATAATAGTCTTTATTATTGTTGTAATGATTATCAGCACAATCACAATTATTATGATCCCCATTATCGAGGTCATAAAATTATCACGGTGATAATGACTGGCATGATTATTGTTAAGCGCATGATCACAATCATTAATATTATCATGATATTATCTGTCGCTGTATGTGCGTAATTGGTGTGCTTATGGTCATGATTATCACCACGAAAAATGAAAAATGTCCTTACTGATCATCTGTATTACTATAATCGTAATTATCTTTACGATTATGATAGTAATTTTTTACAGCGCAATATGATCATCATAGCCATCAGAATCGCGATGAAGATTTTCTGTATGCCTGTTTGCACTATAGTCATATGGATAATTATTTTCTCACTGATAACATTCGTCGCAGCTATGATCATAGTAATGATTGTAATGATTTTCGGTACCGTATTATCAGCATCATGATTATCGCGAATGATTCGACATAATATGCTGATTATTCTGACTGATTCGTACACTTGCTGTTGCATTTCGCAGTTCCGTTTGCCAAGAATAACGATGACTAAAAATCAGCCAGTTGTAGACCGTAAATTTGCAAATTCAAACAGGTATACTGAACTGTTTTATTTTGTTGTCATTTTTATCATGATTACGGTGGCAGTCGTAATCACAATTGTATTCATAGTAATGATCAGCATGGCCGTAATTCATTCATTCATATCGTAACGACGTGCATGATCATAATCCTCATTATCATCTACGTCTTCCTCATAACCATGATTATTTTCAACTATTGTATTGATTGCTATCCTTCACAAATTGTTCCAGCATGCAGTGTGTAAGTCTTGCTCTTCTGGTTCTGCCAAACCTTTTACCCTCGCGATTTTACGCATGTTTTTCGATGTGTTCACGTTGAAAGGAAGGTAATCGCTCGAATGTGGAGGCCGCGCATAAAGGATGCATTTTTGGACATTTTTCAAGTACCAACTTGAATTGCAGACTCTTCACAGTCAAGTTTACCTGTTCGCTGAGATATTATATCGTTCTAAATCTGAAATTGTGATTTTGGGTGGGTTATGCGTTACCTGATAGGTTATGCTTCTGTCGTATAAAATTTTTTTCGTTCGTAAAACTAATCGAATCGATCAGACAAAGGAGCAACCCATTATTAAGATTGTGTGCTGACTGTTTCTTCTGTCACTTCTGTGCAACACTATCTTAGCAAAGGTGATCCTGATAAGAACCTGTGAGAACTTGTGTGATTACCAGATTTGAATTCTTTCTAAGCTTCCAAGCCTCAAAGCCATATTTTATTAAACATCGTAAATGCTAGCTGACATTGAGCATGTCCTTGCTGTTTTTGTGTTAACTGTGCAAATTGTTTTCATATTTGTGTTTGCACTTTTACTGTCTTGCTTTTACAACATCCAAAAGCAAAGGGCGTTGTATGGATTAATGCAATGGTAAAACTGACTTGTATGTATGCTAGAAGCAGCAAAAGGGACCTTCTTACACGTTGGACGTTTACTCATACGTTTCTGTGTTTAGACGACGCTAGAAGCGATTCATTCACAGCGATCGAAATTGAAGCCTGAAAGCCTTCTGATCATTGGTCCGGAGAGCTGGAAGTCCAGTCGTCCTCGAGGTCATCACGGGCCGCTATGCCAGATGTGTCATAACTATATCAATCAACAATTCGTTGACTCGCTAAAATATTACTGTAACGTCGATGATGTCGTGATTACGGTTTCTCGTCGTAGAAACCGATGCAAGGTACGAATGCATTAGTTGCTGCAAGATTGTCATTAATTTATGGTTTAAAGAATAAGGATTCAACCGTAGTTACTGAGGGATGAGTGAATCAGCGAATGGATGAAGTGAATTTATAAATGAATGAAGGAAATTGTCAATGGATTGGGCGCTGTGACACTGTGGCAGTGAGTCGCTCTCGAACTCTTGAGGTGCATGGTTCGATTGCGCAGGAGGGAAAAGCATTTCTTAACCGCGAACTACCTTGAACTAGAAATTTACACTATATTTCATCGGTGCAACTAGCTGAGAAACGGGTAGCAAGTCGCTGACTTGCGAACATCAGCGCCAGCAGGGTGTTCTGATGTGGTCATACCTGAATATAGAGCGACAGGTACAGCCTTTATTCACATAATAGCCAATTATTCAATATGATAAGTAGCAGAAGGTGTAAGTAAGGCTTCTAGAGTTGCTGAATGAGTGAAAAGGAGTAATTTATTGCTGAAACAAAATTGAAGGTCTGTTTTATTTTCAGAAACGGTGAAACAGCAAGCAAAAATATACAGCATCAGCAGATGGATCTACTATCTCAGCAGATGGATTTATCTCATCTTCCCACGCCCATTTTTTTTCAGGGAATTTGCAGATGCCATTCCTTCTGTGCGAATTTACAGTAGGAGGTTCTTCGTTTATGTAAAATTGCCGTATTGACTTGAAGAAGGGTCAGGGTCGTTTTTTAAACTAAAAGTTTCTGCTACAACTCTACAGTTGTATCCCTTCCGCAGGCCCGGTAGTTTTTCTATCAGTGAGTAAGGTTAACTTGCTTCTCATGTATTGTGCCTTCGGCATAGTCTCAAGAATAGGTCACAAATTTCGAAATACTAACGAAACCGGCCATTAACCATTCACATGGTATTATATATGGATAACTTTGAGAAAACAGTTGAAACGGCGTCTCCCACTCTCTTCACGAATCGCTGTCACGGTGTCAATTGAATCGAAAGATTATTTGCGTATATACCTATCAGAATTATACAGAAGATCTCCAGTTTCGATTTTGTCATGCTGCTTATCAGAACGTTATAAGGTTTTAAGTGCTGAAAGGCTTGCATGCGTATGGAGCCAGAAACAAAAAGGTGATGATGATGAATGTCCGTCATCTGTAACATGAATTTCATGGTTCTTTCAAATATTACATTCTAAAGAGTTTATTTGTTATTTCGTTTTTCATGCTTTTGATTTCATCGTGTCCCATCACTGGTTCGTTTTATTTTGTATTGTTCAGGCGTGTCACGGATCTAGCGTTGGCGAGTCGAATGCCGGCCATTCGAGCTGCGGCTGTTCTCGCTGTTCCAGCAGCAGTGGTAAGGAAACGGATGCCCGCGAGGTGGTGCCACCAGATCCACACCAAAGTTCCTTTGTTGCGAAAGCTGAAGACCCTTTGTCGAGGCGTTGGTCGTCATCAGGGTTTGGCTCCATAGCCGAAGATGTTTCCGAAACCATCCATGAGCCAAGGAAGGCGATCATCGATTCGACCAATCAGCGTTGGTGGCACTTGCATCCGCTGAGCGATGGAAACATGTCTCGTTGGCAGAGTTCGTCTTCGATGGCTCGTACGCTGTCCGAAACCGAGGGTGGCAACCTGGCGAAAGAAACTGATCAGTAAGTGAGAAATTGACTATTCATCGCCTCATTCAAGCGACCGAAGAATTATCGAGGACAACTTGGTGACAAATCATGATTGTTCGCTATGATAATTCATAATAAGTGTATATCTAATCAGCATTCTGTTGGAAATTACTTTCAATTCAGTAACATTCGCTGCCTCATTTTCGAACTGAAACATACGGTTTTTTCATGATTGCATTTTGAACCATGTATTTTTTGTGTAGCTCACCGGCAGCGGAAGTTTCTTCGTCTTCCCTGGAACGAGCCGGTCAGTCAGCCTACAGTTTCCGCGCGACCAACGCTTCATTATGCGGCGGCATCAGGGAAAGCAGCAGAATCTTGCATTTTTTGTTTCAACGGAAATCCTGGAACCCAGTCCGCTTCATCAACTTCTTTAAGC